ATAAAATTGATATTTTTTTAATATTATTTATTATTTATATGTAGATTATTTTAATTAATTAATTAAATTAAAATTAATTTTTTTATTTTTTATATAAATTAATAATAAAAAATATATTAATTACACTAAATCGATACCTTTAAAAAAACCTTTCTAGAACACCGAGGGTCACTTTGAAGTATTTTCGAGTAAAATGAGGACTGAAATGCAAAGAAGCTTAACATATGGTTAAGTAGAGCACTTGAATTTCGCTGGTTTTTTACGTTAAGCCCTCGAAGGAAGAGTTTTAACTACCCAGGGCCTTTATATTTCCAATTTGACAGAATGAACATATTTTTTTGTTTTTTTGGTCCACGAAAGTAGAAAGGTTGTTGTCCAAATATTTAGTTATCACAAATATTTTTCTACACAGTTTGTTTAATTAAAATTTTCTAAACCATTATTTAAGACTTATTATGAAATGTCATGTGGATTGATTTACTTTAATTATAGATATATTTTGTAAATGTGATTGTTTATTTCTTTTCACCTTAGGAACTAGGAAGTATTGAGTGTTGCTCTTTAATCTCAATGTCCAAAGCAACCTCAATCAAGGCCTTTTTATAAAATGACAAATTTGAACAATGTTCCTTAAACTTAAAAAGATAACTTCATGTTATTAATTGAAACTTTAATACATTTTTGTTAATAAAAGCACCAATTGATGCTCTCATATATCTTAGTGGTTGTTGCTCTCATCTTTTAAGTTACTAATATATTTTTTATTTCTTAATATCACTTTAACGTCGGCTCAATGGAATAATGTGGCTTTCCATAAAGTGAGGGGTTTATTAATCAAAATTGGAAGGTTTTGAGGGCCCAAGTGGTCCAAACGCTTTTGTAAGGGCTTAATCGAAAACACTCACAAAGTTTGAGGGCTTATATTTGGGCATTTCTAATATAAACATGATCTTTTTGCCCCTATTTAAAGAGCATTACAGAAAGGGTTTTGTCTGTCTTGTTGCCTCAGGTACTATCAAAATTTGAGTAAAGGAAAACAGAGCACAAGTGTCACCTCTGCTTTTCTGTGGCAGTTTCTTCCCAAAAGTAGATTTGTTTTGAAGCAGAAGAAGCTCTGTTTTGTACTTGATTACTCATTTTTTAGCTCAATTCAAAGAGGAATTGAGTTCAATGTCTTCTGATCTTTATGTTTTTGGTGGGTCTTTCTGCTCTCATTCACCCTCGGACATGGATTTCTCTGATTCAACAGATCTTCACTTCTACACTGATGCTTGTTTCTCTCCTCCATATGACTTCCCTGTTGATGATACCATTTTTCAAGCAATTTCCAGCATCAATTACCAAAACCCTGTTGAAGAATCCCATCCTCTCTACCAAATTTCTTCCAATTTACTCTCTTCTTCTCCTCCAAGCACCCAGCTTGAGAATATAAGCCTTTACCAGACCACCCAGATGCAGTCTTTATCAAATGGGTATGGAGATTTTGGGGGATTGAATTGTTTGGAGGTGAAAAATGAGGAATGTCAGGTTGGGTTTGATTGTGGTGGTTATACTCAGTCCTTTGATCCCCATAGTTACGATGGTGTTGAGAATGTAGAAAGGTATTTGCAGAGGAGTTTCAGTAGCAACTCCTTTGAAGGAAAGCCTGGATTTCCATTCCAGCCCCGGTTTGATTCTCTCCTGGAATCCCCAAATTTCCAGAGCTCACCGGAAAACAGCTTTTTTGCTGGACAGATGAGGAGGGTTTACAGCGCCGGCGACTTACAAGTTAGTTTTCTCCCAATATTCCCCCAATTCCAATGCCTTTCCTCTGTTTTTGCTCTGTTTTTTTTCTTCAATTCCATGTCTAATTAATATGGTTTTTCTCCTTTCTGCCTTTTCAGAACATCAGGAAAGCTCACAATCCTCACACCACCCAGAGGTCATTTTCAAACCCTTTAGCTACAGAGAGTCCGTGCATGGAGGAATCAAACCTCAAAGTCGGGCGATACAGTGCAGAAGAGAGGAAAGAGAGGATCTCAAAGTACAGAGCCAAACGCAACCAAAGGAACTTCAACAAGACTATCAAGGTAACAAAAAGAATTTGTTTTCTTTATTCTTCATTTACACACGTTAAACTGTTGTTCTAAGTGTTGTTGGTTTGGGCTGTTTGGCTATGGTTCCCCCTGTTCATGCCACAGTATGCATGCCGGAAAACGCTAGCCGACAACCGCCCCCGTATACGTGGCAGATTCGCAAGGAATGATGAAGCTGGCGAGATTCCCAAGGCTGCATGCTCCATTCGAGATGAAGAAGATGAGGAGATATGGGTATCTTACTTTTTCTCCTTTGCATTTCACATACCAAAACATCAATATTATGTAACATATACCATAATTAATTCCGTTAATTATGTGTTGTTGATGCAGTTTGATGGATCTCATGAGGAGGAGGATAGAAGAGGAGGAGCATTTGGAGGCAATTATGCCCAACCTCAGTTTCAGTACTATGGCAGCTCTTTTTACTAATGAAGAAGAAGAAGTCATTTTGAGTAAAAGAACTCAAAAGGGAATTTTAATAAGTTTCCTTCTTGAAGACGTTAAAAAATTTACAATTGGGTAGTTAGTTGTAGTAGAGTATGTAGAAGCAGTTTTTTACAATAATTTTTACAGCTTTTTATTGGTTATGTATAATGAGATAATAAATACTTATTAAACCCTTGAAAAGCAAGGATATTTTGTAATAATTTGACTTTAAATATTAAAATTTGTCTCTATATTTTATATATTTTTAGTCATTTCTCTCTTGTCTATGTGCATGAGGTAATCAATAATAATATGAAGATTCCACCATGAACCCAAATCTTTGACCTTGTGGTAAAGATCCAGTGGAATTTCTGTCAAAACTTGTGCTCATCTTTTTCCAAGTGCCTCGCGCTTTAAGATTAAATTATGAAGATTATGTGATTATGTTTGTCCCCCAAGAAAATTAAATGGGAAACGAAAGAAGAATTTTGATTTAACAAGCAAATTTGCTTCGCAGATTGTGTCTGTTAATATCTAGGAGAATAGCATCTCTTGGTTCTGTCTTTAAACTTTTCATTGAATTATAATAAACAGACCAAACGCGGCTTAGTGCTCACTGTTTCAATACATGCAGTAGATTCTTTCATTCAAGCCTTTGATACCTTCTTTTTCCTTGATATGACAAACAGCCTTTTTTCCTAACGCAACATATAATATAATTTTTTGGTCTTTTTTTAATAAAAAAATGGTGTAATATAAACCAAAAAATAATAAACTATTAAATGAGACAACCTTTTAATATTAGGATAGTCTCTTATCTTCTTTTTTCTTTTTCTTTTCTTTTTTTTTTTTTAAATTCTAGACAGTAAAATAAAGGACTCTTTTTTATCTGGTTGCATGCGGGAGAGTTTTTGAATATGGCCCCATGTTGTGCGTTTGTTCATTCTTTAATTTAGTGCTTGTAATCAGTAACCCTTTGAATAACACGATGGATATGTAAAAGTTTCATTGAGATTCCATTGCATCTTTTACTAAAAAATGAAGGGAAAAGGAGGAAGAGACTTTTTCTTTTTTTTTTTTCAATTTGTGGTTGAGAATCACTTTTATTTTAGTTATTTACTTCCTTAAAATCAAACTTACATAATACACTTGCAACACATGTTGTTGTACTAATTAGGTTAGGAATTTACAAGCTGAAACGCATCCTAATCTCACTGGTTTCTGTCAAAATCAACGGTTCGGCAGACACAGTGGACTTGCAACTTTTGCCTAGCAAGAATTGCCGATTATTGGTTTACCGCAAAAGGGAAAGTTTTAATTAAAATCACAACGAGAATATGATTCCAGGAACATTCATAGCAGGTACTCCTATTAACATGATGTGATGTTGTGGACCAATCTGTTTCTAACTGTTTACCTGAAGAAAAAACTGGCATCTTGTTTTAAGTGGCTAATGTCTGCTGCTTTTGCCTTAACCAATATGTTCAGATGAATTTGGAGATATGTTTTGTTTTTTCTAACTTTGGAGATAAGGAATTTAAGGACTGCTTATGCCTGAATCCAATAAAATATTTGAGTGAAATGAATACGTTTTAAAAATTTTCTAACATTACGGAGCTAAAAGTTGTGCAGCAATTGATTAAGAAGAGAGAAAAATTTTAAGAGTTGGAGGCAAACACTATAATTTGACTTGAGCAAATGCAGCACTATAAAATTTGTGGCATATTTGGTTTAGTATTCTATTTTCCATCTGAAGAATCTGATTGGCTATATTGTGACAATATGGAACAATCATGTCATGCTTTGTTGGGAGTTTAATCATGTTCTTCCTCTATTAGCCACCTTCATGCCCGAATTGGCAAGGAAAACAAAGAAGAGTACTCAATTGAATTTTCCAACACCAGAGAATATTATGCAGTTTGTATTGCAGATTATGTTTCAACCCTTTTTTGGTGTTGTCAAATCCATGCCCACAATGGTGAATTAGCACAAACAAAGTGCTCTGATCATTCACTTTAATAAATTTTCTCTCCTGAGACGTGGAACAGAAGTTCAGAAAGATCACAACCAATTCAGAGAAGAGACAGCAGAAGTTTCTTTTCCCTTTCTTGTTTCAGAAGCCAGAAAACATTGAAAATTCTTTATGATCTTAAAGGCATCAAAAGGTTACTTCTTTTCTTTTTCCTTCAAAAAAAAAAAAAACTATTTTTGGAAAATCATATGAGGCCCTGGCAGAGAAGATATAAAGTAAGTGTCTAAGGGAGGTTCCTTGCAGGTGTCAAGCTGATCTAGCTTAGCAGCCTGCATTATTCAGGATATATTATTATTTTAAGTCCATTCCTACTACAGGAACCCTATCTACAATATTATAGAAGTCCACTTTAAGTAGAAAAATTTAAAGAACATCTTCAAGATTTAGAACCCAGGAGAACATATTATGGCATTTACGGTATTTTCTTTTCTGGAATCATGGAATGAAGGATTCGTGTCAGTTCTCTATTTTATAATTTGGTAATGGAGGGAGATGCTTTTGCTTCTTTACACAACACATATGCTAGCTAATACTAATGAAAATGAGAATTGATAAATCTTGGCATATATCTTGGGAGTTTTTACATTATCATCATTTGACCTGACCAACTCCCTTTATGGAAGAAGATGTGAACGTTTCTCAGTAAAAGAACCACAGAAAGGCAGCTAGGTTTAATGTTTTGGATTGACAACCTGTTGTAAAAAGAAAAATGCCATTGAAAAGCAACTTAGGAAACAATAAGCATCTATCTAATGGAAGTAATAAAGGTAAAACAAAGACCGAATCTCACTCAATACCGGTTGTAATAGAAACCTTAGGATGGATAGCGAGAATTTGGAAAAGAAGAAAACTATCCCCCATTGAATGGCCTATATTTGTACGACGGTAGAAAAACCATTACTGTTGAGAAATGTGAATAAAGTGAGAAACGGAGACAATGGGAAGAGCAGTGAAGAAAAGAATGCCTATAATATTTGATCAAATATTAAGCATCAAGCACCAAACAACTAATGATTCCAAGGCTCAACTTTTGACCACCACAATATTGAAAGGAAATAATATTAAAACTACTACTTCAATATCCTATCATTGCCCTGCTATGTAGATCAATATATAAAGATGATTACTGGTAGTCCTTAGGCTAGCTTCTTAGCAAGACAGATACCCAAGGAAAGAATTATTCCGTTTGGAAAAGGAATAAAAAATGAATGGAAAAGTTGCCCCCTTTGTTGTCCTTGCCCCCTTTTTTTTAAGTCTAAGAAAAGGGTTCCTGTGTTGCTACATGGAAAATTCCAAACCCTTTTAATTTGCTTCTCTGCAATTATTACACACAATATCAAAGCATTAGTATGTAAATTCTATATTTGAGTCATTTAGCATGCAGGTAGATAAATAAATGAACAAAAGAGCATTGGTAACCTCCATTACGTGAAAAGGGATATGATTTTTCTAATGAACTTTAAACTTTTCCCCATCTTACAGAAGCCAAAAAGAAAGTTTAATCAAGAAAAATTTCAGGAGAGAATCTATTGCAGAGAAAGAGCAAGAGCAGGCAAGGAATTGGAATTGGAAGGGAAGCTTGTGGCTGACTACAAAAGAAAAGAAGGGTAATGTAGGAGTATCTTTCATAGTTGATAATACATATAGGTACGCAATAATTAGGCTTAAAGAAATGAATTTGTGCCCTCATGGTCTTCCTTTGCTGCTAACAATGATTTTATTATATTTTATATCATCCCCACTAGCAGTTGTAGTTTGCTTTCTAGTGCTGTCTCTGTTTGGTGTATTGCCTTTTCAGAACTTGAGCATGCAATAACTTGGAGTGTGGCTTTAATTTTCATATGCCTTTTTGAACCAATAAGTTGAAAGAAGCAACAGTGTGGCAATTTGTATAAGCAAAAGGCAGAAGGGAATGTCCTTAAAGCAGTCAAAACTAGTAGTAGAGTCTCCCTAGGTCTTAAGCTCTTTGTAAAATTAAAGACAGCTTCTAACGTGAGAAGAATCCATGAATTCTCTTTCTGTCCAAAAGTGGATGGTTCCTTGTGGGGTCTCTTACCAACTTCCAGATTTTGACAACTTGGGTTCTTATGCCTCTAGAGAAAGAAGCTGTTGCTGCAGACAACTTGGGTTCCTTACGAAACCCAACTTGTTGGGGAAATCAAACGAAGGTAAAGCAGTTAATTTATGAGTTGGAAAAATGAAAAGATCTTCATAACAGTAAGATTCTCCAAGGTCAGAGTAAGAGCATCCTCTCTTGCTTCTTCCACGTTTTGGGTTTTGATCTGAGTCTCGTCTATGTTTTTTTTTTTTTTTTGGTGGGATAAAATGTGAGGTGATTATTGTTGGAAAAGGGGAGGACC